CACTTCGTTACCAGCAAGCGGTGCCCCAGAACCGAGGAAAGCATCTTCGGAGTAGTCCAGAGGGAAGGAGAGTCCATCCGGGGCTACATCAAGCGGTTCAATGATGCATGCTTGCAGATACCGCGACTGGACCCAGCGGTGCAGCTCGTGGCGGCCAAGAGAACAGAGGAAGAGATCGTAGTTCAAATGGCACATGGTAGCTAGCCAGCCCGCGACCATAGTCGAATTCCTCAAGCTCGCGGATAAGTTCATGAGAATAGAGGAAGAGATCAACCAAAGGACCGAAAGCGGGATCGAGAAAATGAAGAGGGAAGGCGAGCCCTCCAACCCAGTTGACAGAAGAAAAAACCCGGCCCGGGAGACGAAGCCGAGCCAACCGTTCCGAGCTCCCTTAGTAGCTCGGACGGACTACACACCCTTAAACAAGAGGCGGACCGAGATCTTGATGACGATCAAAGACGCCCCATACGTAAAATGGCCACCTCGCCTAAAAGGGAACCCAAACAAGAGAAATAAAAACTTGTACTGCAGTTTCCATAGAGATCACGGTCATAGTACCGAACAGTGTAATAATCTCCGGGACGAGATAGAGGGACTCATCCATCACAGGTACTTGAGAAATTTTGTACAGCATAATAATAATAATAATAAGACAGGTCGGCAAGGGGAGCACGGAAGGGATGCCCCCGAATCCAGCAGTAGGCCAGCCGAACCGACGCAAAGACAGCCTCTGGAAGAGAGGCCAGTTCGGAGAACCATCCACGTGATAGTGGGAGGTTCGGTGGTAGCAGGTTGTGCTTCGGCAGCGGCTCAGACGTCAGTTCCGAGAAGAACAGAACCCTCAAAAGAGGTCGAAGACGGAAGAACCGATTTTCTTCACGGAAGACGATGCGCGAGGGGTCCACTACCCCCACGATGACGCGCTTGTCATAAAACTAAGGATCAGCGACTTTGAAGTCAGGCGCGTACTTGTGGATTCAGGCAGCTCGGCGGACATCCTCTTTAAGTCGGCGTTTGACTAGCTTTAGTTGCAGAGAAGCGAGTTGAAGCCCGCAAACACTCCTCTGGTGGGCTTCAGCGGAGAGGAAGTCAGGCCCCTCGGGAAAATAACAGTACCTGTGGAAGTCGGCACATGGCCTTGTGTGATCAGACTCAACCACGATTTCCTGGTGGTCGCGACCCCCTCCCCATAC